TAATCTGAAACTGAACAGGAAGCCAGTGCAAATTTGCCAAAACAGGTGAGATGTTTTGCCATCAGTCTGTGTTTTTGTTTAGAAACCTTGCTGCAGCATTCTGTACCAATTGGAGGCGTACCATTGAAGAGGAGGGAACCCCATATAACAGAGAGTTAGCATTGTCCAAACGTGAAGTTACAAAAGCATGAACAACTGTGTGGAGATCTCTCTTGTTAAGGACCGATTTTAATTTAGTCAGCCGGCGAAGATGAAAGAAACACGACCTGACTATCTGGTTCATCTGGGTAACCATTTTAAAACTGGCATCCAGTATGACCCCCAAACTTTTAGTTGTCGGCTTCAGAAAAACCGACAAAGAATGATGCAGAGATGGCTCCACAGCAGAGGGGGAGCAGGGGGCAAAAAAAAAAAGCCTCCAGTTTGGAGCTGTTCAGATGGAGGAAATTGGCAGAAAGCCATGACTTAATTTTATTCAGGCAGTCAGTGGTTGCACAGGGTCAGCCGCTTTAAGAGCCACATAGTCGTCAGCAAATGTTTAGATTAACCTGAAATGTAGTATTGTCATGAAGTTTTCAGTAGTACAAAGACATCTTGCTTTTATTGCAGAAAACTCAAATAAACACCCAACATAACCTGAACCAAACCATAATGAGCAGAACTGTATGAGGAATTAGTGTAATCCAGACCTGTAAAGTCATTTTGCTCTGAGTTTGATTTGTTTTGCTGTCTACTGGTGAGAGTGTGGAACTAGGTGTGAGGTGAAAATGTGAATGATGCTCTCAACAGAAATTTTCTCTTAGATGCTGCATGATCCAACTCAGGTGTAAACATTAGGGATTTAACACAGTTGTAGGTGATACAGAGTTGAGCTATTTTGATTGATACAGTACAAATGAAATGAATTTGGAGATAGGGAATCAGTAACATCCAGAGTAACGTTTTGTTTATCCACTTTACTTCATTTTGTACCATCAGGCTCATCTACCTTTATTTTTTTACCAGGCCCTCTGTTTTTTATGTTTTGCAAAGGTTGGCACCGTTCTTCTGAACATATTTATTTTCCATTTTGACCATCTGTCTCTGAAAACAGCTTTACTCCTCATCCTCTGCTTTTCCAATGCTCTCTCACTCTCCCTCTCACTAATGACTGCTATTGGATTTTACTTTTACTCATCTCCATCTGTGATGACGTCTATGATTAAAGATCTCACAAGACTGCCCGTCATTTTTTTATGCTGATATATTATTGGGGTTGTTTTTTCAGCCCAATTTTGAATCTGTGCTGTTGAACTTAAAGCTTCCATGTGGTGGCTGTGAAAGGCTTTACCATAAAAGAACTAAAATACTGAGACTCAAATGTTTTTGCTGTAGAATTTAGACCTGTAGACTTAGCTGTTTTAGTCTTCTCAATCATTCATTCATCTTCCAAACCACTCAGTCTTGAGGTTTGTGGTGAGCTGGTGCTTTTCTCCATCCGTCACCAGGGTCGAAGTGGGGGACACCCTGAGCAAGTTGCCAGTCCATCCAATTTCCACACAGAGACAAATGAGCCAGCTGGACACTCCATCTATCCGTCCATCCATCCATCCATTTTCCTCCGATTATCTGGGGTCAAGTCATGGGGGCAGCAGCCTAAACAGAGAGGCCGAGACTTCCCTCTCCCCAGCTACTTAGACCAGCACATGGGGGAATCCCAAGGTGTTCCCTAGGTGAGAAACAAAGTCCCTCCAGCATGTCCTGGGTCTTCCTTTAGGTCTTCTCCCAGTTGGATATGCCTGGAAAACCTCACCAGGGAGGCATCCAGGAAGCAACCTAACTACATGCCCGAGCCACCTCAGCTGGCTCCTCTCGATGTGGAGGAGCAGCGGGTCTACTTCAAGCCCCTCTCAGGTGACTGAGCTTCTCACCCTATCTCTAGGGGAGAGCCTAGACACCTTTCAGAGAAAAATCATTTGGCCGCTTGTATCCACAATCTCATTTTTGTCACTACCCAAAGCTTGTGACCATAGGTGAGGGAAGGAATGTAGATCGACTGGTAAATCGAGAGCTTGCCTTCTGGCTCAGCTCTCTCTTCACCACAACAGATTGGTACAACGCAACACTAATCTGCATATCTATTGATAGCCACACACTCACTCATTGATCATTTAAAGTTGCCAATCAACCTAAAATGCATGTTGTTTGTTTTGTGGGAAGTAACTGGAATACCTGGAGAAGATCCACGCATGCGTGGGGAAAACAGGCTAACTCCATGCAGAAAGGCCACAGCCAGGTTTGTGACCTTCTGACTGCAAGGCAACACTGTTATGCAGCCGCCTCTGGATCAGAGAGAAGTAAACCTTTCTATTGCTGCCTTCCAGCTGTTCATTTGACATTTACAGTTTGGTAAACCACAGCACTGAGGAACCAAAGAATTTTGTTAATTTCAAACTTTTAATTGATCTGAATATGATTTAGGTTGGTACATATGATTTGTTTGGAGGGTCCGGCGGCACCAGAGTAGAGCTGTGGCTATAGCTCATGACTCAGTAATTATGTCACTTCAGTGTATGTCAAAATTGAAAATAAATGACACTGTGAGCACAACACGATGCATGTTTATAAAGATAGTTATATATATATATATATATATATATATATATATATATATATATATATATATATATATATATATATATATATATATATATATATATAATATTCCATGGTTGATATGGTTGACAATGTGCGGAGTTTAGAGAAGGTTGCATTTGTAACAGTTTTGGCAGTGACTTGGTGAAGGTGTAGTGCCTCCTATGAGGCAGCAGGACCAATGGTTATCTCTGATGATGCTCCTTCCCATATTAAAGGAGAAACATTATGCCGTTTTTATAAAGCTGTCACGGTTGGGCTTCTGTTTTTGAAGTTCTTTGCACAAAATCTCTCTCACATAAAGCCATCTCAGCGTTTTTATACTTAACATATTCAGTACCTTCCAGAATCAGCCGTTTCAGGCCTGTCCTTTTAAGAGAGAGAAGCAGAACACTTGATGCATCTAGTGGTGCCATCTAACATCAGCATAGTGATGTGTGTGGTGGAAAGAGACCTAAAATCCTCAGCATCTTTCCAAAGGTCAGTGAGAAGTACTCCCACTGGTCAATCTCCTTCTTGAAGCTCTGACCTCCATTTTTTCCCCATCAGAGCACTCGATGTACAATTTCTCATTTATTATTTCAGCTTTTCAGGCCACTGGAGTACTTACAGACCCGTGTGTACTTATAATCTTACCTTATCTGAAGTAAAACCCTCTGGAACCACTGAGCTACTGATCAGACCATCGGCCTGAGAACATCTCTGATGATTTAAAACTCTGCAGCTTTTCAGTGATCAAAGATGCCTCTCCACCTCCTAGTTCTTCCTACAGTATGCTGCTCTCCTTAAGGCCTCCAAACATAGAGGGGGGAGTTTGTAGCTTCCAGCATGTCTTTGACTTTTTTATAGAAATAAAATGAGAGCAACATTCTGCTGTCAGCACTTGACTTCACTGCTGAAAAGAAGACTTTTGTTAGAAATGTGAATCTACACAGTTTTAGCTTCAGGGGAAAGCTACAGTCGTCCACAGCCCCACCTTTTTTAATTTTTTTTATAAATCTAATCTATTCAATCGGTAAATTGGGATTTAACTATCAATTTCTGCTTTCAACTGGTCAATTTCTGTCATTTAAAACAGCTAAAATATGACAAATTAACTATAATTTTACATTTAATTACCCAGTCTCCTAGGAAATGTAAAGAAAACATTAAAATGTTTAAATCTATGGCATGCATAAAATGAAAAACCCAAGGTTACTAAGCCAGAACAAGTATGCATACAAAAAGAAAAAGTGAGCATGCATTCACTAATTACATTCAGATTCCTGTGCCTTTATTTCTCACTTTATAGTCCCAAAAATGGCAGCTAATATTGTGATTTAATATGTTAATGAAGAATACCTGGGGCAAAACGTAGTGAAATCTGAACTAATAGCAACTGCATGGATTTAAATCATCATTACCAGTCACGTTGTTAATTTTAGGGCAGCATTAAAAAGCTTGTGAGGTGAACAGAGCAAGCAGTGAGCAGCTTTAGCACCTGTGATCACAGCTAGCCAGTACTCAACAACACCAGGAGCTAACACCTGGTGGTGTTAGCATCTGCAGAAAAACAACACCATCGTGTGCAGAAAGCTGTGGCTCCTAATCCTGCATCTAAGGATTTTCTAAATGACTTTCTTGCTGAGTTCAGTTGCCGTGAGTACTCTGGAAAATCAGAACAGGGGCCCCTGAGCAGCCTTGAGGGTGGCAGGTGAGACTCTCCATCTCTGTGATGTTAACTTGTTTATTGTCAACATTTGTGCAAGGTTTCACTTTTTCCAGAGAGGATTTTGAAAAGCCAAACTGAGTTTACATATCCTGCTGTGGGAAACAAAACCCATTATGGTGCATTATTATGCTGCTGCCCCGTGGCTCCTGCGGCCGCCATCCGCTGAAACATCTCAAACATTAAGCACTCCTGCTTTCTTCTGCTTCACTGTCATTTTCAGGAGGGGAACATTTGCTCAGCCTCTTATATCCCCCTCTCTACATTACTGGTACCGTCATTCTGGAAACGACATTTGCTCTGTCCTCTCCTCACACCCTCCCCTCCCTGCAGGCACACTCTTCTGCAAACTTATATCCTTTTCCTTGATGAGAAAACATGCAGTTCTTTGGCTCTCTCTATTCATGTCATGCATTTCATGTATGGTGGTGAATTACAGCACATTCCTTGGCCTGAGCTATAAAAGGAGAAGGGAACATTACAGCCAGCCAGAATAATTTCATTAATATATGCAGCATGATTCCTAAATCTTCACCACCTCTTATCTTCTTAGAGTAACACAAACACAAGCATGTGATGGTTCCATCCTTCTGTGGACAAAAAGAACCCCTGGAAGCGTTCAGCTGGGCTCAGACGTAAAAGAGGGGGTGCGTTTTTGCACTTGGCCGCGTGGTGGCAACCTGCGCTGCCCCGCCGCCTCACCAGACCCAAACGTTACCTCACGAAGAACCCGGGACTCGCTCTCATCAGCCGCCACCGGTAGCAGCACCGGGCTCCCCCAGAGCGCTGCTGTGACTGCGCGGAACTTTCTTTCTCATCATCCGCACACCGAGCTGCTGAACTTCTCCTCGTCGCTCCTGTCAAACTGAATCTCCGACCTTGACAGCGCACCGTGGAGAGGAACTTTACAAGAAGGAGGGGTGGGTTGTGTGTGCGCTCTGGATTCTGACGCTCCTGTTCAGAAGAAGGAACACGGGTTGAGGAAAAGTCTGTTTAACTGAAAGCAGCTGAAGTTTGAAGTGAGGACAAGTCGCAGACAGCAGCATTTTGGCGAGACTTGGATGGGGATGAAAGTGTGAGGTTCGTGTGTCCTTACAGGTGTTGCGGGACGCTGCGTTTGGACTTGAGCTGGTTTCATCTGACTTCATCACACCAACCCAGGTGCGCGCTGCTGCTGCTTGGCTTCAGGAGGAAATACTATTTAATCACAACCGAGCTTGTGGAACTTAACACTCCTCAATATTTACACCCTGCTTGGTGAATTGCACTGAAAGTGTTCGGTTTCAGGCGCTCAGCCCAGCGCGCTCTGCTGGACTCAGGTTCGTGGACAGAGACAACCCCACAGCAGGCGGACAGCAGACGGACCTCATCGGCACTCCAGCATCAAAGCATGCCACAAGCTCACCGGGCACTTGTTGTCCAGTCCGCCCGGACTGGAGCAATGTGTGAACTCTCCTGGAGCGGATCAATGTGGCGCGCCACATGGATTTTATTTTTGTCCTTTCTTATCCAGTCCACGCAAGCTCAAGGTAAGGAACTGGGTACCAGCTCGAGCTCGGCTCGGTGCAGAGCTATTTGGTGTCTGCGCGGTTCCGGTTGGATGTTTGTGTGAACGCTTCTCCGCTGCAGAGATGCTTTTATTTATCTCTGCCTCTCCGCACACGCACGCAGCAATTGTCTTTTTTCAGGACACACACACACACATGCGCGCGCGCTCACGCACACAAACGCCACCTCATCCTCACATTCATTGAACCAACTCATGTTCAAAGTCCACCCACAGCCGAAGTTTAACTTTATTATCAGTCTTTTTCTTCTGTTTTCTGGTGTTTTAGATGTTGGAACAGCTGTAATGAGTTCTAACAACACGTGCCATTCAAAGCCAAGCTGTTAGAATGTTAAGCTGATTAATAAGTGGTAATTCATTAATTAATCAACCAGCCCTCTCTCCTCCGGGATCTGAAGTTTGCGCAGCAGAAGCAGCGCAGCGGATAAACAGATCTGCTCCGCATTGATATGCAACGATAAGCTCTTCCACATGCACGCATGTATTAAACACTTTACCAGGGGTTTTCTTTTCTTCTAAAAATGGTGCAGCCTGAGCTGCGCAGATGATTAGAAAACGACAAAAGGGAACTGTTTACAAAGATATTTGATATTTTTATTCTGATGGTTTGATGATTATCATTGCAACGCATCTCATATTGTTGTAACATACCTGGGAATACACAGCCAAGTCTGCTGCAACCTTTTCATCATTGATCACTAGTTCCTTTGCTTCATTTGTCAGATTTGTAAATGGTACCGTCTAAATTTGCAAAAGAAAACCAATATGTACTTTTGAGACTGATGTAAATTTGAGACACTGTGTACTTGTTATTTACTTTGGTGCAAACATCCTTGTGTTTGGAACAGAATCAGGGCTGGAGTTAGCATTTTGGGGTCTTTGTGGTCTCTCCAGTGAAAGGCATGGCGTGGAAAACTCATTCAGGCATGCCCAAAGGATGTTTGTACAGCCACTTTCACCATTTGGAGGCTGTGTACTTGGGTGACACTGACTTGAGGAATAAACAAAAAAAATACTTTTTCTCTGCCTCAGGATCACCTTTCAGTTATGGGATTCGGGTCTTGCTGCCAGTGTAAAGAGGAAGTGTTCCCTCTCAATAGTCAGTGCACTAAGTGAGGCTCACTCAGTAATACAATGTAGAAAAGATGAGGGAGAAAAAAAAGACAACCTTGGAAGATATCCATCATTCATGAAGCCAAATCCTAGTCTCTGACATTTACAGGAGACTGATAACTGGTGAGTCCCAGGGATTAAAAGCTCTGACATTATTGTTTTCTCTCCCTCCATAACTGTATCTCTTCTCTCAGCGCAGGTCTTCTGCTCTTACCTTCTGCATTTAACCAAGCAAGTTCAGTCAGAACGCATCAAGTGCAGACGTGGCCTGGGGAGAATGCTCTGCTTGTGTTTTTGTGGATGTGCATGAAGCAACATCTATAACATCCACACACGTTAGCGAGGACGCGCCACTGATCATTCTCACTCTCCGTCTGCTCAGTCCATCCAGCCGCAGTCCTCAGATTCCATTACAGAGGCGCTCCTGGGTCAGAAAATGTAGGATTTAATTGGACTCTCTTCAGACCGTTCAGAGTGCAGCTCGTTGAAAGTGACCCCAGTGTGGGCTGCTCTCTTTCCCACTATGATTAAAGAATATGATGAGGCGAGAAGCATGCCTCTGGATGGACATGTCAGCTGCAGCTCGCCACATTTTAATGACCCGTCTGCTGAAACAGCTTTTTAACAACAGGAGAATGGCCTTCATCGCACCAAAAGGCTATGAAGTTCTGCTTTAGGGCTTGCTGATCAGATAGAGGTGATCTTAGTTGCCCTAATGTTGTATCTTGTCATTCATCCTGATTGTGCACAGCAAGGGAAGAGAAAAAGTCTCTGAACACCTGTCTGGTTGCTAGAAAATGTATATTTGAACTGTCAGTGGTGTTCATATAAAAAAGTATTTGTGTTGAATGCATCAGTTGGGTTGCTGACACATATGCTCACCCTTTACTTTTTCCTCAAATGTTTATCTTCCTAAGCCACTTAAAATATTTAGTTTTGAAGTGACAATTATAAAAGCTGTCTGGTGTGTCTCAATGTTCACTCTGTTCATTTACTGAGGTTATGCCAAACAATGCTGGGCTCGCCCGCTGGTTGTGTCATTTCTTACAAATCTATTTTGAAGCTTGGAGCAGCAGGGGAGGACTCTATTGGAATATCAAGTTTGGCACATTCTGCATCATTCAGTGTTTGTTGTTTAGCAGAACTGGAAACGGCTCAGCTTTAGCTTGATGCAGTGGCAGTTTTCCACATGAGCAATATGGCTCATGACCCACGGCGGCGTCTCATCGGGGTGGTGCAACCAATCAAATGATTTAAAAAAATCCCTTCATTGGTTCTCAGAGTTTTTCATTACTTTTTTCATGTCCAGTCAACCTAGAGAGTGGGCGCTTCCTTGCATTGTGTGGGCATCTCTGCTTGCTGCTGAGAAGAGAGACAGGAACGTAAGGTGGGAGTAATGTCATTTCTCTAGTCCCACAAGTTGATACGATGTCTCACATTTAGACTTTATGCTCTGTCAACGTTGCTCTAAAGAAGATCCCAAACACTTGGCTTTGTCAGAACTCCTTCTTTGATGTCAGGAAACTGTGAGACTCAAAAAAAGCACGTACTGTACTGTTTGATGGTGTTACATGTGTTACATTGTGGCATGTGCTATTATCAGAAGACCGCTTCCATGGCTGGGTCACTTCTGGAAGGGGCAGTGCCCAGGTTGGTCATAACTCAGCTAATCAATGTTATTTACATGAAGAGAAGTTTATTTTCTAAATGTGTTGTCTGGGTGCCTGAGCTCGATTAGGAGTTGTCCTGTTTGGTGTGACCAGCCGGACTAAGGTGTTTACATGCATTCAAATAGAACGACTTCAGTTGCAATAATTCGGTTTTCTGATGCTGCATGTAAACGTACTGAGAAACAGCCTGGATGAGCAGGTCCATCTCTTTATGCAGCAGGTTAAAAGTGAAACTCAGAATAGATGCTGCCTTGTGTTCAGTTGCAAGGAATTGTACCATCATGCTGAAAGAAATTATTGGAAGTAGGGCTGGGCGATATGGCAAAAATAGAATATCACGATTTTTCCAATATTTTATCACGATTTCGATTTTATCACGATTTTTTATCCATGAATAGCATAACTTCAATTGCGTATTAAAGAAGAGAAACATTGAATAAATAAACATTTATTCATATTAGGGATAATCAGCACAGTGCTAACACACTTATATTTTAAACTCACACCAGAGATGATAAAAGCCCTGAGAGAAACAATTACAAAAATCAGTTTTTCTCTTTTTTCATGTTACTTAACATAAATTAAAATTGTAAACATATTTAAAGTGCAAACATGTCAATTGCAAACGTATTGTGCAAACATTAACTTGTTCAAAATACTATGTAGCTCCCAGTTGCTCATGTAGTGGATAGTTAAGCTCAAATACGGCTCTGATGTGCAGCTGGACCAGAGATCGCTTGTGGTAGCAAATAACTGCGCATTCTGAATATTTTCTGCAACAAGTCTCTAAATAAAGTAAAATTTTCCACTGCAGAGTGGAGACAACCCATAGAAGCACTGATTTGATCTCATTTCAGAGAAAAATAGAACAGGTTAGGTGCACCTAATAAATAAAATTACTAACAAACTCAGGAATCTTTCTTTGCTTCACTGTTCTGGTGCTGAGAATATCACTAATGTGGATCAAAGGAGATACACAGATGAATGCACCTCTTATTATTTGGAAACTACATTTACTGCAGCTGGCAGAGGCAGAGATTGTTTCTATTGATACACGGAGTTTACAGAATCATTTTAAATGTTAATAGGGGAAGACTGCAGGAGGGAGCGGTAAATTACAGGGGGTCCCCAGCAAAAATAAGAAACTACGAGTCTGATGAAACCCGCTGGTTTTCCATCAGGCATTCACGGGGCAGCTCCAACGACCCAGTGACCGAGCTCAGTCCGGTACCGACACCGGCTCGGCAGAGGGTGAACGAGCAGAGGTGACGTTGTGCTCTGCTTAAGAAGCGGTGTTATTTTCCTGCTTCAGAAGAAGCGTCCAACGTGTTTTTACGCTTTCTCCGAGGCATGTCACGTCACTAAGTTGTTAGCGCCGCGCGCTAAGGAAACCCTGCGTTCCTCTTCGGAACGAAAACCTCGTTGTCGCTCAGCCGCGGCGAAGCCATGTTTGTTCACACACAAGTGAAAACAAGCGGGGCACTAATATATTACTATGACTCACTCTGATTGGTTAAGGGTCAAACAAAGGCGTGTCATTCGCCTGAGGTAAGTTCCATTTTCATTCAGAGGCAGAAATTCAACAGCAGAGCTGTGAATCGTGATAAAACGGTCTCTCAAAAATGACAGACCGTCAGATGTGTGGATCGTAAAACGGTCTAAAATCGTCATATCGCCCAGCCATAATTGGAAGCATCAAGTTCAAGTAGAAAGTTTAAAGCAAATACCTACGGTGAGATAGCATCTGTGATGAGCATACAATGTAATAGGGTGAGTCTCGTGTTATAGATCTTATGGTGCCTTTTTAGTGTTGTTGCCTGTTGGCAGACTGTGTGGACATTGTTAAATCAATGGACTTCAGATGCGCAAAACTGGGCACCCGGACTACCATTCATTCTAGACCAGGGCTATTCAATTCTGGGCCTCGAAGGCCAGAATCCAGCATGTTTTGGTTTTAACCTGCTTCAACACACCTGATTTCAATCAGCAGTTGATTAACAGTCTCCTGCAGAGCCTGATGAGCTGCTACACAAGTGATTTAACCACTGAATCCAGTGTGTTGGAGCAGAGAAACCACTAAAACGTGCTGGATACCAGCCTTCAAGGCCTGGAATTGAGTAGCCTTACTCTAGAGCTACCTTTGTCTTGACAAAAGCTGTATGACATTTATTTGTCAGAG